TAACATGATGATCAAAAATGACACCAAGATTCCTAAAACTTGACCGTATAGCTGACTAAAGGGACCCAATACTCTGGGCAGCCTTTGACGCTAGACTCATACTAATAGTCACACAACAGCAGCACACGCCAACAGCGGAGGTAACCACTGCCGTACATGATACAGATCATATCAGAGGTGACCAGTATCAGCTCCTCATAGATGATGTGTTTCCTCTTCATGTCCGTCAGCTGGTTCAGTGATCCTGGACAGTCCAGTCCTCCCTGTGATGGAGGGACACGATGTGACTCTGATCTGCAGACCAAGAGTCACAATGTCTTCCTTCCACCTCACAGCTGATTTCTATAAAGATGGCGTCTTCATCAGGAGCAGCTCCACAGGAAACATGACCATCCACAGTGTTTCTCCATCTGATGAAGGACTCTACAAATGTAACTGTGTCTCTGGAGCTGGAGGATCAGCAGACAGCTGGCTGACTGTCAGAGGTGAGGGGGGTTTCACTCAAGTTACATTTGTCTTCAACTCTTCATACATAAAACCAGCAGTGCAATGTGATGGGATTTAAAGTCGAGTCCAAAAAGCTCCGACTGCTGACGAGCACCAGGAAGTCTCTCAGATTCAGTTTCTCTCTGCAGCGCCTCCTGCAGGCCGTGATCCTCCACCTCCTCTGCTGTCTGTCTCCGCTCTGTTGCGCCACCTGGTGGTTGGAGCTCCTTACCTGGTGTCCACCATCTTACTGGGACTCATTTACAGAGACAGAGCAAGAGGTGAGAACAGCTGCACTAACTAAAGCTCAAACTCAGATTGTTGAATTTCTGTCCCGCGAGATTAAAAAACACAGCTGAACTGCAGTGTCCGTACGACCACTAGACCACTAACTGTGACAAAACTTCACACTAATGTCTAACAGGAGAAAATAATGAATGATGACATTTTATATCCAAAATGTCAAAGGTCAACTTCACTGTGACATCATTATGTTCTGCATGAAACACTCTTCTGGCCATTACTCAACTTCATATCTCAGGAACAGAAGGGGAGACACTGATCTTGGGTGTCCATTTTGAAACTGTGGTGACTGTACAGATTTGTGTGAAGCATCCATGTTTTCACAGACACGAATGTAAACTGTAAGAGAAATCTGATTGGTGTGCATAGGCGTACAACCACAAGGCGGTAATTCTTTGGTATTTGATAGCCACCACAGGCGGTGTGTGTTTGATGCTGGCTGTCTTGTGTTTGTAAACACAGTCAGGGACTCTGTCCTTGTTCCTTTTTTTACCGTCGCAGCACCATCTTTATTGTATGTGCTATCTTTGTCTTTTGCATTATTCCTCTTTTGCCTCACAGTTACAGTTAAAGAAGAGTCTGTGCTCCTATTGGTTGAAGTTACACTCGTGAGATAACATGTTATCGAAGGAAAAAAAAAATCAAAAATGCTTTGGCCGAACATCGTGAGGCGTCAAAGATGCAGCATTTTGCATACCTGCTGCTTTACGTTCGCCAAGTCAAGCTGATATCATGAAGTCTGAACCCGGCAGTGGAGGAATATTTCCACATTCATTGTCACGACAACACTCCAGTTACAATACTGCTCCAGACCAAGAAATAGTCCCAGGAAATCATAACATGTTGTTTTTAAAGAGTTTTTGGGGGGCATTTTTGCCTACAATGGCATTTAAGGGTCATTGTAGATTGAAAAAAATAGATAAAATACAGATCCGGGGGTGACTAGTGACATAAAAATAATAGTTAGCATGTTAGCCGTTAGCCTTGATACAGCCGGGGCGCATAGTAGCGTCAGACCTGTTAAAACGTAAGTGAACGGGCAACCTTCAAGTGCAAAGTTAGTCCACTAAACAAGCTTTTTTTCCACAAAGACCGCCTCATATCGTTAGGATAAATGTCAGAGAACATATAGAAAACGACATGTAAACGTGTTGTCTTACCTTACTGGTGTGCTGCCATGTTTGTTTACCATTTAGCTCTGCTTTCCAAAGCACTGCCGAAATATCGCGAGAACAAGCAGCAACAGCTGGAAGGCAGAACCGGACAGTAGCCTGAAAAGTTCATTCATTTATTTTATGAAAGATTTATAGAATAATGGCTGACTTTTTGCCAGACTTCGACTTTGTGGAGGAGGAATTTGATTTTGCAGAGCTTGATGGCTGCCCTTATTTATTTGAGCCAGAATACACTGACGAAGAGCTTCGTGAAAGTGAAGAACGGAGGAGGAGAGAGAGAGAGGCGCAACAGGTAGAGGACGAGAGAGGAGGAATGGCTGCTGCAAGGCTGTGTAGCTCTGGAGATTGGTGGTGTACCTGTGAATGCTGTGCCCCAGTGCCCACAGAAGAGGAATGCCTCTGTTGCAAGGAATGGGACCGGTTGCAGCCTTATTTTCAAGGTCTGGATGTGACCGAGGACGAAACACCTCCACCTGGAGTAGTATCCAGCTGGGCTTTATCTAGAGCTCGCGAGATATATTTCGGCAGTGCTTTGGAAAGCAGAGCTAAATGGTAAACAAACATGGCAGCACACCAGTAAGGTAAGACAACACGTTTACATGTCATTTTCTATATGTTCTCTGACATTTATCCTAACGATATGAGGCGGTCTTTGTGGAAAAAAAGCTTGTTTAGTGGACTAACTTTGCACTTGAAGGTTGCCCGTTCACTTACGTTTTAACAGGTCTGACGCTACTATGCACCCCAGCTGTATCTAGGCTAACGGCTAACATGCTAACTATTATTTTTATGTCACTAGTCACTTGAAACAAATTTAGGACGATAGGAGACAGGTTGAAATAAACCGAAATTTCCCTTTAAAATAGCAAATTTACAGGGAACCAATTCTGATATTCTCTGAGTGGTACATTTATGAGGAACAAAAAAATCAAAAATTTACAAGAAAAAAATCTTGAATATAATCTGAGAGTATCAAGTCAGAAATTTGCTAGAAAAAGAAGGTTAAAGTTGCAGATCTACAGAAAAAGAAAACAGTGGTGTGATTAAGTTGCGATGTCGTGTCTTGACAAAAACAAACAAACCCAACAACTAAAAATCCAGTTTTTATTCTTTCAACATCTTAATCATATTCTACCTACGTTGGCCCTGATTTGTGGGAGTATTTTCTGTTATTGGACAGTGATAGGACAGACAGGAAACAAGGGGAGGGGCAGGGGGTATGACATGCAACAAAGGTCCCTGGTCAGAATCAAACAGGTGACATTGTGATTAGGTGGTATGCACTGGAGCCATTCGGCCACCACAGCTCTCTGAATGACTTCCTCTTGTACTGTTTTTTTTTTGTTTTGTTTTTTGCATGGATTAAACAAACTAGATATAAGCAGTTAATCAGTTAGCTTTCTAGGAGCTGGTAGGTGGAGTTTGTTAGCTTCAGACAGAGCCAGGCTTGCTGTTTCCAGTCTGTATGCTAAGCTAAGCTTTTTTATCATGAATATTCATCTTTATTTATTTTATTTTTTTGTTACAGTGCAGCGTGCCAGGAAATCAAGGCAAACATCCAATGATGTTATAATGGAAATGGCTGCATGACAACCGCTGACATCACACATCAACAGTGAAAGATGAGAGAGAGGAAAACATCAATTTTCCTGTTGCATCCCGTGTTTACTTTAAATAAGTCTGATCCTTTTCTTCATCTTTTTCACATTATATTTATCTTTCATCATTCCGTCTATTCAGTTTCAACATTTTGGGTTTCATGTGTGTGAGTTTGTGCTGTGCAAAAAGAACATAAACATTTCTTTGTTTTTTTTTCACACCTGTTTTTGAATCGAGGCCGAAACCTCCTTGTGGCTTTTTAGGCGGCTGGTAGCTGTCCGACGTGAAGCGCTCACTGTTGCCATGGCAGCTGGTTTGACAGAAGCGGAGGTGTTTGTGGTGTGAGTTTCAGAGGGTGGGTGCAGTGGACGTGTTTGTGGTTATCAAGCTGTCACTTACTATTGCTGTTAACATGTAATCATTTACATTGAATATAAGCCTTTTAGTTACACATTATTATGAAATGTAGTGGTAGAAAAAGCATTACTTAAATAAAGTACTAACACCACATTGTGAAAATACTCCACTACAAGTGAAATTATACCGCTGTAGATGTTTGGACTGTGCTCATTTTAACTCCTTTGAGACGTCGTAGAGGCGAAAATGAAAACACCCACTCAGAGAGCAGAGAGGTAGGATCATGGTGGGGTCAAAGAACAACAGCAGGTTTTCTGCTAAACGCCATGTAGTTTCCTGTCAAACAGACATTCGGCAGTGAAACGTTGATCTGCTGAACGACAGGAAACAATGTCAGTGAGGTGTTGCTTTGTTCCTGCTGCCCTGTTTATGCGCTGTAACAAACACACCTGTGAAACCAGAGTTTCAGCTGGGCAGACTTTGTTGATAATCTGTATTGATTCATCGCATTTATGTGCTTGCTGGTGACAGAGTTTGTAAACTGTTGACACATGATGTATTCAGCATCCTAATTCTAACAAGGTTTGGGGCCAGTTTACAAGGAAAAAGTGACAATAATATGCACAAACTGCTAAATGATAATAATGCAAAACAGAAACCAAAGAGCCAGAAAACATGAAAGCACTCTGTAAAACCGCGTTGCCACCAAACACCTTCGGTATGGTGCCTTTGGAACCAAAAGTGACCTTCAGGCATCGTCACCACACCACAAACCGTACTCTTAAATGTTTCAGAACAAAATAGAACAGGCTGCAGTGAGAGTCTCTCTCCATGGGATATTTAAAAATAGCAGCTTTGTGCATTTCGTCCTTCTCAGGCAAGCTCAGGGGTTTAGTGTTGCTGTAGCCCACAGGAACAACACTCCACGATGCTTTTTTTTCTCTGAGTGAGGATTAGAATATATGCAGTTCATATAACCGGGCCAAAATTAATTTATATAAACACTTGAAGATCCACTCATGACTAAAAGTGTGTGTCATATAAAAACTAAAGTGATGGTCAAAGTTGTCACAGTGAAATTTAAGGTGTGCTGATGGATTCACGTCATCAACTCATGCATTGAGTAACATTACAAGTTAACGTTCCAACTCAAAAGTCACCGGCATTCGGCCCAGTGAGTTATTTTTTCTCAGTCTCCAGCTGCTGTGAGAGGCAGCAAAACATCCTTTCATTTTATAGTTACAGTTCACTAATATATGTAAAACTCTGCACGGTGTGAACAGTGGTTACGTAACCTTCAGAACCAGCCACAACACACAATGTGACTTTGCAAAATAGGACATGCTCCTGGATCAACATCCCATATTCTGTTCCAGGACCAACATTGCAATCAACCAATCACAGCCCTCTGACATCATCAGATGTCCTGGTCCTGTGCTTCTTGAGAGCTAAGCTAGTTTTACAAATTGAAGTTAGCACAATGTAAAAACAAGTAATATTGATCAAAAACCATGTCAGCTACTGCAGGGTTCGCAAGTTGGCTTGCTAACAGGTAAGCTCAGCAATAGGCTAAAATGTTGTTCATTAACAAGAGTAAGCTAGCTGTTTCCGTAACCTTTACTCTTAACGAGAGTTAAGAGTAAGGATGATGTCATTTTGCAGTTGCAAAGACCTGCGAAGGACACATTTTTCAATAGCCTAGTCACAACTATTCGTCACGTTGACCCTGGATAATTTGTTTTTTGATCATCATCTCTATCCTGCATAATTTGTTTGATCCAGGGCACCATTGCCACATTGATCCTGAACAGAATCCCTGACATAAACAAATAATCCAGAATCAGTGTGATGATGACGATGGTGGTCCTGCATAAACCTAACCAAAACTATATCCAGGATCAACATTTAGAAAGGAGGGAAAGTGTGTAGGAATTTGCAACTGAAAATGATATTATCCTTAGTCTTTGTTACTGAACAATATTCTAGCCTAGTGGCGAGCTTACCTGTTAGCATAGCCCAGCTAGTTAGCAAACTAGCTCACTAACCCTGCAGTAGCTTAGGAGGATTTTGGTTAATTGCACGAACTTCAATTTAGAAAACTAGCTCAGCTCTGAAGAAGCACAAAGGGATTTCAGAAGAATCATACTGATGATGTCAGAGGGCTATGATTGGTTGATTGCAGTGTTGGTCCAGGAACGCAGTGTGAGATGTTGATCCAGGGGCATTTCCTACTTGGCAAAATCACGTCGTGTGCCAGAGTGACCGTCCTCTACTGACCAATCAGACTACTGTGCTAGGTACCCCAACAGAGGGGGGGCGGTTCCACTGGTACCATCCACAACTTTGTGACCGAACTGAACCGAACTGTTCTGCTCGGTGAAAACCGGGCTGAAGACATTTCAAGTTGGTTTAACTTGAAAATACAAGTCAGCCTAGCTTACCTTTGCTTCAACTCCAAAATTTAAGCTAATAAAGTTGATTTACAGTGTTTTTTAATGGTCTTAGAAAACTTCTCGCTTTGTTAAACAAACTCAAATTTCTGCATTGCTTTGACATTTCTAGTTGGTTTAACTCGAAAATCCAAGTTAACTTAATTTGATGATTTAAGTTCATTCGTTTGTTTTTGTTTTGCTTGAGTTAGAGTCCAGTTCCTCAACCTGTCTTGTGCTGTGTCATATATTTAATTATGTTATTTTCCTTTTTGGTCACTTGTATAAATAAATAAAAAAACAAAAAAGTCAAATGAGTGGAAATTATTCAATTGTATTATAGTTTGTCCTGGTGGTCTAAAAGGTAGTGGTTGCAAAATGAAGCTCCATTTTCTTTTATTTTCTGAGCCCACTAGATGGCGCCCTCTGTTCAACAAAGGGCTGAAAGCACACTGAATATCCAGTCCTTGAGCTTTTTTCTTTAAACCAGGAGCGCCATCTAATGTGCTCAGAAAATAAAAAGAAATAATTTTTTTTAAAAAAGGGTCACAGTGAGAGGGCTTTAGAGCTGTCTGGAGGCCTTTTGTACCAAGCTTGCATCTTCCTGTGTTTCCTCCAGGTGCTCCAGCTTCCTCCCACAGTCCAAAGACATGCAGGTTAACTGGTGACTCTAAATTGTCCGTAGGTGTGTATGTGAGTGTGAATGGTTGTCTGTGTCTATGTGTCAGCCCTGTGATAGTCTGGTGACCTGTCCAGGGTGAGGGTGGTCATGGGCCCCAGCCTCCCACAACCCTGCTCCAGGATGAGCGGTTACAGATGGTTAATGAATGAGTGAAGGTTGATGAGGCTTCATGTGACCGTCCCTGTCTGGTGGTCTAAAAGGTGTGAGTCTCTGCTGCGTACTATCCAGCTGTGATATTAACTTAAACTATTGCAAATCTATTGTGCTTTGAACATTTGGCTCCCATCAAAGACAACACCAGCATCATTTCAAGCAGCAGCAGCAGCAGCAGCAGCAGTAGTAAAGAGGTCAAAGGTCACAGCACGATGAGATTCAGGAAAACATTTTCTAAAAATGTAAATAAAAGATTCAATAGTTCTTAAGTATTTATAAAATTCCTTTCAACAGAGCCTCACATGCAAGAAATGTATGTGAGTGTTATTTATTTTAGTGAACAAACAAGAACAAAGTCTGACGTCCTGGTGCCCTCTGGAGGATTTAATGTGTAGTACACTTATCTTTATTTCTAAATACTGCTCAAATGACTGTTTTCTCACAGGGTAAAGAAATAAACAGCAAAGTCTAAGTGTTAATTAATTGGACATTTTACTTTGTGTGCTTTGAATTTCATTTTGTAGTCCCAAAATGTTGTGTTCTCTTAAATAGTTTTATTCTACTTTAAGACTTTTAGCAGCTGTGCCTGCCCCACGTAACAGATACACAGAACAGATAGATGGATAGATGTCCGTTTGGTCAGCCTTCACCAGTTTGTCAGTCTGGATCTGGAAGCCCCACAGGATCTTAGCTCAGTCATTCTAACCACCTTAGAAGGTGTTTTCCATCGTGACCTTGGGACTTCCAGGCCATACTCAGTGCACATGTTCCTGTACGCTATGCCAGACACTTGGTTACAGTGTTCCATGTACGCTCTTCCTGCTTGCAGCTTGCATCTTGTGCCAAACTGTCTCAGGAGCTTTGCACAGCCTGCACCTGGGGTCCTCAGACTAGACTAAAGCTCAAGGCAGATTCACAAGATCCAAATCTGATCCAGCATCCATGGGACGTGCTGGTACCTCAGAGGTACTCCTAATCCACGGTGGGGCCTCCCTGGATCGGACTTGTCAAGGAATGGACACATGACCTCTGGAAGGTGTCCTGTGGTGTCTGGCACCAGAGTGCTGCAATGATTAGTCGACTAATAGATGACTAATCGACTATTAAAATAATCGGTGACTATTTTAGTCGTCGACTAATCGGTTTGAGTCATTTTTCATAGAAAAGTACTATAAAGTACCCCAAAATACTCTTATTGCAGCTTCTTACACTCAAATATTGGCAGCTTTACACACTCTCCCATGATGGTGAACTAAGAGGCCGTTTACACGTACTCGGTGATTTTGATAAACGGAGACATCTTCCTTCGTTTGTGCCCTTCGTTTACACGCAAACGGAGATTTCTCCTCTGAAAACGAGTCTTTCTAAAAACTCCGGCCAGAGTGGAGATTTTGGAAAACTCCGGTTGCGCGTTTGCATGTAAACTGAGATAAACGCAGATAAACGGAGTTATAGGCAGCCCACGTCACAGTATGCGCCAGAACTTGCGCCTGTGTAAAAAGTGCGACCTATGTTGCTATGGTGACAATGGATACATGGAAGGCTTGAGCTTCTCGTTACACTGCCACCTACAGGTTTGGCATGCTCTTGTGTATATATACACGGGTAAGTGTAAACGAAGATCTTTTTGAAAACGGAGACGGTGAAAAGTCCGTTTATGAAAATAGCCGGCAACGTGTAAACAGGGCCTAAAACCCTTTGGCGTGAGTACGAAGTGATGTACGAAGTGATGTACGAAGTGACGTACGAAGTGATGTACGAAATGACATGACATAATTTTGGGGTTTGGGAGAGACAGACCGACATTTTTCAACTTTTTAACACATTTTTCGATAAAATGATTAGTCGACTAATCGAAGAAATAATCGACAGATTAGTCGACAATGAAAATAATCGTTAGTTGCAGCCCTAGTACCAGCACTTCCTAGATGCTCAGTCAGGCCCCGTTTAGACGACAACGATTTCAACTGAAAACGGTAAACTTAAGTTGCGTTTTGGCCGATCGTTTACATGACAGTGGCGTTTTGGGTGCCTGAAAACGCAACGTTTTGAAAACGGGTTCCAGAGTGCAACTTTTTGGAAACGGCAGCATCTCCATTGTCATGTAAACGTGCAATATGCAGCTCCTCTGAAAACAGAGACTTTTCGCACATGCGCGTTACGGTTCCAGTCACTAGGCATGCCGACCGTCGCAACAACAATGCCGAGCTCTGTTTGTGCTGCTCACCCTGTTGATTTGAAGTGAAGTGTAGATCTGTTACTGTAGCAACTCCACCTCGTCGTCCATCCAGACAAAGTTATCTGTGCGTGCTTTCGCCATTGTGTCTTCTTTGTTTTGGTTTGTAATCACTGCGTTGTAGAGGAAGACGCTTCAGCGCAGGCGCATGGCGTCATGCCGTGGTGTTGCTTTGCAAATTTACACCCATTGGCCTGGCATGCATACTACAGCGTTTCTCGTAGATTTTGCGGCTCCGTGTGAACGGGGATCGTTTCAATAACGTCGTCATATAAACGCAGAAGTTTTTTAAAACGCAAAGGACAGACTTTTCCGTTTTTAGAGAAACTGTTATCTTCTAAACAGGGCCTTAGATTTGGAGGCCCGGTCGACACCTTGAACTTTTTGTCACGTTCCTCAAGCCGCTCCTGAGGAGTTTTTGTGGTGTGGGATGGTGCATTTTTCTGCTGGGGGGCCACTACTGTCAGGGAGTACTGTTGCTCTATCTATCTATCTATCTATCTATCTATCTAAGCTATGTGTACATGAGTGTAGGCCTGTATCTTCCTTGTTAATATAATTTAGTTGTCTTTATTTTTCTTTACTGTTATGTACTTTGTTCCAATGTGTGACTTTAAAGAAAAGATCTGTATATTTCCTGGCCACCATAGCTGTTGTAAGTACCTGAATGCTTTTTCCACCTCTAAGTGCTGTATTCTTATTTTTCATTTCTTCTTAAAACCTTAAAAGCCCAAACAGTACAACAGCGTGGTCACATCCTGTCTGACGGGTGGTTGTCACCGCCCCTGCGGTACGCCCAAGGACAACAAATCAAGTATCCTCTCTGCGAAAGAAACGGCTGGAAAACACTTCCGGGTGTCTTTGACTCGTCCTGACTTTAACTCGGGAACTTTGTGCACGGAGTTTGGTCCAGTTTGTCACAGCTAGATATGAAGACTTGGAGGAACAGCAGACAGCAGGAGACGAAGTGACGGTCAGACGAAGAAAGAAGAAGTTTGTTTTCAACGCTGTGAAGGTAAAAACCCGTTTAACCCGCCTCCTGTGTGTTGTTAGCCGGCTTCACCTCATTAAAAGTCATTTAACTTGGTTTATTTTGACTTTAACGAGCTGAAGCTGCTGGTTTATTCATCTCTAAACACGTTGTGTCGTGTGGATACAGCTCACATAGCTGCAGAGTTCACCTGGCTTACACGGGAACACAGTGTCTTCAGTAAGGTTAGCTTGGAAACAACAGCAAACTGAACACTTTTAAACTCAGTTACCAGTTTATTAGGTACACCCAGACAAAGCTAATGCACTCTAGGGTCGTTTCAGAGGCAGCAGTGGAAGGTAAGAGTCACTCAGGTAGTGTACTTGTACCGTTCAGTGTCTCTAATATTTTGTCCACCCTCATTAATATCAGACTGTGTGTACCTAATAAACTGACAACTGTTTGTGTGTTATTGTTAAAGAAAATATACAGGAAAACTTCCACTGTGTGAAATCTGTTTTTAATAAATCAGAAAGAGCTTCTAAATATTGCACATTTTTTATTTTTATTTTCATTTTATAGTTTCTACATCTAACATTTTCGTAGATTATTTCTTATATTTTATGCGATATTTCTCATTTACCATTTATCCCTGCGTTATTGTTGTTTTGTATTTTACTGTTTCAGTCATATTTATATCTGTTATAAATGCTCTGACCTGCCAAAGCTTTCTTCTTCTTTAGATAAGTTAAATAATGTTAAATAATTTAAAATGTATATCCCAGATGCTTGTGTTTTTATTGTTTATTAAATGTAATATATAGCAAATGTTTTTTTTAGAATTATTTAACTTATTATTTTAATTGTATTTATATATTTTAAATTTAATATTCCTCATCTTGTAATCTTTGTATTATAGGGGAGGGAACCACCAGAGGATCCACAATATGATATTATCACGATACTTAAGTCACGATATAATATTATCGCGATATTAAATATATTGCGATATGCTGAGTATTACCATAAAATATAGGCCTATTGCGATTTATTGCAAATTATTAGCTGCTTTCAACTTTAAATAAAAGTTAATAAAGTTTTCAGTCTGTTTAATTAAAAAAATTAATTTTAAAAATGTAATTCAATTTAATTTAAATTTTTTATTTAATTTAATTTCAGTTAATTTGCTTTGATTAAATTTAAATTTTATATACTTTATTACTTTTTTTTTTTCCCAGAAAATTGTTTCTCGTGGACCAAAAAAGTAACTGATTATATTATTATAGCAGGCTGCCTTAAGTTAAATTTGTAGTTGTAATATTAATAATTAATATAGTAAAAAAATTTATATGATATTGACACTCAAAAATGTCACAATACTATGCTGTATTGATTTTTTTCCCCCTCACCTCTATTATATTCTTTATTTATGTTTTTTTTTCCTTATAATTTACCGTTAGACTTTTAATTAAAGGACCAGTTCACTCAAATACCCCAAATCCTTAGTGCTCAACCCTCAGTGATGTCTATGGCGTGGTCATATGGTTGAAATCATCACTTTATTAATAAGGCAGCATCACTGTAATATGAGTTTGTCGAGTTCACTCACTTTGCTCTACGCGGAAGTTAAATTTATCTTTCCTCTGATAAGCAGAAGTAGAGATAACCACATTTTAATGTTTAACAAAAGTCGTCTCACTCTTGTTGTCATCTCCAGAAATGAACCATCAAACAGTATTTTTACTGAATATGCAGAAACAAAGAGACCAAACTTTTACAGTTTGTATGTGTCAGCCGTGATTTACATGGGTGGTGTGGGGCTTGTGACATACTTTAAGAGGTCAGAGTTCAGCTTTGTATACTGTGTTACCCATCAGAAACATTACTGAGGTGTTTGTACTTTGCACTTCCTGTAAATAAAGTTGTAGTACTTTATGACTTACGACAGGAAAGTGGTGAAGTTGCAGCAGACATTTCATCATGAATCCAACAGTAAGCTTAAAGTCTGTGACGTTCTTATGACAGAAGTGACTCAGATGGTGTGTTTTGTTGTACTTTATTAAAACTTTGTTGAAATTTTGAGGCTGAATAACAGACAAGATGGCGCTGAAAGTAAACCTCTGATGGAACATAAAATCAGGGCTGTGGCTCTTTACTGCTTCATGTTGCTGTTGGTTTGTTTCAGACTGAGTTTAGAGTCGTATTTCTAGGGCTGTCCCCAGTATCAGTTTTGGAGGCTTCAAAACTTCAGTGCTAATCACCTGCAAATATTCAGTGCTTCAACAGGACACGATGTGGCCTAGGGGTGCGAGTGGGGGGATGTCGGGGGATAGTAATAAATCATATTCATAACTAATCAGCCAACTTTAGAAGGACTTGGCGCCGCTGTGTGTTACAGAGCGCTAGAGAGAAGGTGGAAGATGGACTATTGCAAACAATGTTTCTGGAAGTTGTTAACTCTGAACACAACAGGTCAGGCCTCATCACTAGATGAAAATCAAGTGCTTCACTACAGTCGGCAGCTGCGGACGACTGTCTACAGTTCGTCTTGCGTCTAACAGCCAATGTAACACTTGAAGTGGGGTTCAATGACTGCACCGGTAACACAGGCCTTATTCGTGTCCGACACTTGCCACTTCCTTTCAATTTCCTCCACTTTTTTAGTGGTGAAAACGATTCAAAAATCGAAGCATTTGAATACTGATACGGACATTGGTTACCATGGCAACGACCGAACCTTTGAAGCATTTAGGTCGGCCTTTACTTCCCTGAAATCAGCAATGGTGGAAGAAATACTCCGATCTTTTACCCAAGGAAAAAAAATGGATGTACGGCAACGTTAAAATACTCAGACACAAGCAGGTCATGGAATTCCTGGAAAAGTTATGAAATCAGAAAAACTGTTTCCATGGCCTGGAAATGGTTTGGAATGAACACAATAGCCCCTTTTACACTGCCAGATTTTCTGTGATGTTGTCGGCAAGCTGCGAGCGTTTAGACACATGGAGCTGGATTGGCGAGCTGACCCGATGTACCCAATTTTCCGCCTCGTAGTGTAGACATATTGGCGGAACCCTTTTGGTTTAAACAGACCAAGGCGGCCTTCCGCCACGGGAGGGGCTGTTGATGACTTTTGGGAGGAGCTGTTGATGACGACGTACGTGCGAGCCACTGGCGGTGGATTAACAGGAAATAGCTGATAGCAGGAATTAGCGAGCAGCTAGTAGCAAGAGGGAAACACAAACCTGACAGACACTGTAAAGATGAGCAACTGGGGAGACAAGGAATAGCGCGCCCTCCTTGTCTTCGCAAATGAAGAGGCTATTAACCGTCAGATGACGGGGACGGTGAAGGACGGGCCGACTTATGAGAGAATCACCGAAGGACTGACCAGCCGCGGCTTCCCTCCCACGTCACTGTTTACGTCACACGCTGAGCTACACGTTTTGTTATTCGCTCACGCCCCCCATAGAGTGTGCCAGGGCTGACGTCAAAACCCGGAAGTTTAGCATCGCGCTGGTTCCCGGAAGAGAAAGTGAATGTGATTTTTGCATTGCGTTTTGGATTATGTCAGAAAATAAGCTCTGTGGCTAACACAAGTTTATGATACTTACAGGTTTTGTTCAGCGAGATAATCTTCGCATATGAACACCTTTCATACCGCATTTGAAGCTTAAATGCGATTGCCAGAAGTAAAAAGCTAACGTTAGGCTTTAACGGACTACATGGCTACTCCACGGTCACATGACTCTTGATGTCACCGCCACTAAGCTTTCAACTGCTTTCAGCTGCTTTATTTTAAAAACATTGTATAATGGGGAAATCGGACTGTTTAAGTTAAATAAGAAGCTGTAATGGCGGACTGCCAGCACTCTCGCCTGTTCGGGGGTGATGACGTTTAATGTCCCCAACAGGGTTTGTAGTCGTATTGAGCAACTTGTTAGCAACCGCCTTTTTTACGACACGTAAAAGCTTCAAAATTCACAAGTAGGGTATTTTTTTATGTTGTAGAATAAAAGCTTTTGTTAACCACAGACCTTATTTGAGGCATTTTATCCCATTCAAAAAACGTATTGACTTTTAGACGAGAGAACCGGAAGTGCTAAAAGCGCTAACGGAGTTCCGGGTTTACTGGCACACTCTATTGCCCTGAAAAAGGCGCATTCTGTATAAACAAAAGTATGTAGGCGGCATTTTGCTGCACTCCCCGATTTTGTTTTTGTACTACCAATGCTGAAAAAACACTGATTGGGCTTTCCTGCAAATTTGCACAATTCCTGTTTAAAAAGGGCTAAAGTTTTGGGAAAAAGTTAGAATCTACGCTGTTTTGGCTGTTGTTTAAAATGTGTTCACCAAAAACCTCAAATGTTACTTGAAATCTGTTCCACTTCTTTATATTAAGACACACACACATTCGTAATCTCTGGCGGCCCGGCACTATAAAAACATCTGCTGCTGCCAGATGCTTTCTGCAGGTGCTCCGACATGTTCTCCCCATGTCAGCGCGGGTTTCCTCCAGGTGCTCCAGCTTCCTCCCACAGTGCAAAGACATGCAGGTTAACTGGTGACTCTAAATTACCCGTAGGTGTGAATGTGAGTGTGAATGTCTGTCTCTGTGTGTCAGACCTGTGATAGTCTAGTGACCTGTGCAGGGTGAACCCCGCCTCTCTGTCAGCTGGAACAGGCTCCAGCCCACCGCCACTATCAGATGGTGCTGCATGTGAGGACTTTTACTTTACTACTTAACTGACCATGCTGCAGTAACGAGCAGTGTTTGGCCGCCAGATGCTGATAGATGACAGTAATATGAGGGTGTGGTGTGGTGTGTTGACACGTGTGCTTCTGCGTTTTCACCACTAGATGCTGCTGTTTAACCACACTGACATTACTCACCAGAGAAACGACACACTGAGCTCTGCTGTTCAGCCCCTGAACAAAGCTATTTTACAAAGCACTGACCTTGACGGGGTTGAGGGTTGAATTCCCACTGAGGTCAGCTGAGAGTATCCAGCAGTGATCATGTATGTTTCAAGTGTTAAATTTATGACATTGGTATTAAATTATATTTCTGTTTCTGCTCAAGGGATCAGACGTTATTGTCAGCGTGCTCATGAGCAAGGCAGCCCTCTGGTTTCTATTATCTCAGAGTGAAAATGCCTGGAAATGTTGTAAACTGACGTCTTTCTGTTTTGTCTGCAGGAGAGAGAAGAAGACGAGAAGTGGGAGGGGTGAGATGATGGAGGTGGCGGAGCAGAGAGGAGGCGTCACAGAAAAGGAGGAGACTCCTCCGAGGGTGAGAGAGCATGTAAACCCCTCGAGTTACTGTTTGTCTCTTCTCTCTTCAACTGAATCCAAACATTGAACCTGTTTTTAAAAGACAGGTGATGATTTTGAAACATGTTTTCATCCGCTAAACTCAGGACAGTGTATATAAACCTGCAGGGCTGTCGTCATACAGGTATGGACTGTCATTAGCACATGCTTCATCTCAGCAGAGCACAGAAACACTTTACTAAGCTTCATCTGTTGCTTCTAGACTGAAAGAACCTTGATGTGCACGTTATGATAAGTGGATTCTGGTGGTGGCAAGTGACTAAGCACATTAACTCAGTCACTGTAGTTAAGGGATAACTTGACCCTCTTTTCCTATATTTTTGGAACTGGTCCAGTATTGAGAGACCTCCGCAGCCACAGCAGCAAAACAGGCTGCAATGCAATCCTTATGGGCAACTGTACGCTGCCAATATACGTCCACTAAAAGTGTTTGTTTTTGCCACTGACAAACTACCTTGCTGTGTGAAGAGTTCAAACTAGTTTCGCTGACTGCTATTTGCACAATCATTCATTCATTTGCCGTAACCGCTTATCCTGTTACGGGTCGCGGGGGAGTGGAGCCTATCCCAGCTGACACTGGGCGAGAGGCAGGGTTCACCCTGGACAGGTCACCAGACTATCACAGGTCTGACACACAGAGACAGACATTCACACTCACATTCACACCTACGGGCAATTTAGAGTTATCAATTAACCTGCATGTCTTTGGACTGTGGTAGGAAGCCGGCGCACCTGGAGGAAACCCACGCTGACACGGGGAGAACATGCAAACTCCGCACAGAAGGGCTCCCCCACCCTGGGTTCAAACCAGGAGCCCTCCTGCTGTGAGGCGCCAGTGCTAACCACTGCACCATCGTGCCTTTGCTTGCACGTTGATACATCAGCACTAATAATCACCGTGTAAAGCAGTTTCTTCAAAGAACAAGTACTTTTGTATTTAAAGTACAATTAGACTATAATATGTTTGTACTTTTACTTCCATCCATGCAGGGTTGTACATTAACACATCCTCTTGCAGTGTAGCTGTTGGCTGCAACATTACAAACTCATTATTCCTCCCACTGGCTGCTGAGCGTGTTATCAGTGTATTACACACATATAAAACAGACATGTGTTTGATGTATTTGTTCTTCACAGATATTCCTCACACACTCGCACGTTACGTAACCAGCTGAATAAAAGGGAAGGAACAGCTTCCACAATGTTATCAGAGCGTCGTCACGACAACAAAAGCAAACCGGTGTGACAAACAGTGACAGCGAGCGTTTGCTCCTCTGATAAGGCGGTAATTGTTGTGGTTAGTGGTGATGGAGTGACAGCAGGTAACAGGAGTGGTCACCTGCTGCCGCCCTGATGTCAGCAGGTGACTCACCTGCCTGCAGAGCAGCTGTATTCAGTAGTTTTATGTTAATCAGATGTGTTTTAGATCAGTTGTGAAAAAGAGATGTCATTTTCCATAATTTTCTTTGACCCAAGCTGCAGTTCCTCTAATGGCTGACAATGAGAGGGAGACTTCTTTCTACAAACACTAAAGGGTAACTCTTAGTTTTCAACCTGTCGAAGTCATTAATAGGAACAACGGTTTTTTAAATGAGTCCAGTACTGAGCGAGAGTGCTGCAGCCAGCAGTGGCAAAATAAGCTTCATTGTAATGTTAACGATCTATTGAGCGCCGTCAATTTAAAGTGTTTGTTTTTGCCACTGACAGGCTCAGATAATTGTTCTGTCTGACAACACTTTGGGAAGGATCCCTACAGAGATAGACCCTTTTGTTTAAGAAGAAGATCCTTTTTGTTTAACTAGAAACAGCCTCAAAATCTCTACTGCCAAACCCACCAGACTCCATTTAGATAAACAGTCAGTTCATTTAAAGTCAACAGAAACAAAATAAAACTCACGAAAACCGTCTTGGTTTGTCTCGACACTGTCCCGTCAATCACCAACTCTGGTTTGGTTGAAATAAACCCTTAATTTATCCAGTTAGATGTGAAAATGTGCGGAGTCTGGTTTGTCTGGCGATGGTGATGTCAGGGCTGTTTCTGGTGAAACAAAGAGGATCTTACTCTTAAACAAACAGGTCTGTCCCTGTAGGGATCCTTTCCATAATGTTGTCAGACACTCAGAAAACCAATCTGAGCCTGTCAGTGGCAAAAACAAACACTTCAGAATGATGGGGTACTTTATCAGAGTACTCGCTGACAGAAAGCAACAAGAACAGGAAAAAAACCACGAAATCTTCAGTTTAACGGACAGCGCTGGAAGTATTTGTGTGGGGTGTATGCTAATGGCTGACTAGCAGGAGTGCGCTGTCAGTTTACGATTGATTGGCATTCATGAGCATACACACGTGCATACGATCAAATCAGAGTTTTCTGCGGTGTTCGTGAATCTGGAGATGGTTTTTTATGTGGTACTCACAGATTTACTGATATGTCATGAATGAGACCTGGTGGGTTTGAGTGGTACTTTACATTTTATGTTGATTGTCCCTTTAAAAGCTCATTGAAGAAACCAGCAACCTTCATGTCAAACAGCAGCTTCTCTAACCTTTGGAAAGGGCAAAGGTGTGCGCGTGTGTGTGTGCGAGACTTGTTTTGCGTCACTACATACCTCGCTGTCTCTTCAATGTGACACAACAACTTTGAGCCAAATTCCTTCGGCCCGATGAGCCCTCCACAGGTGTGTGTGTGTGTGTGTGTGTGTGTGTGTGTGTGTGTGTGTGTGTGTGTACATCACTTCCTGGAAACAAATGAGAACATGCAGGACGACGTCCAGAGTTGACTTTTCTTGTTGTAATCTCTTTTAATCGTAGACGACAGCCGTATTGTGTGTTTTTGAGTGTGTGTCGTTACCCCTCATCTGCGTCAGGTGACCATTTCCTGAGTCTTGAGTGACTCCGGTGACCTCCGACCTCCCTAGCCTGCGGCCAATCACAACGGGGAGCCATCATCTCCGTGGCAACCTCACAACCTTTTGATCTGGGTTCTGATTGGCCCCCTGATAAGCTCCGGGTTCCCACAGCGATCCCTCCATGTGTTGTCACGGTGCTTTGAGTTTCTGACCTTTGACCTCTTTACTGTCGGGTACTGGAGACGTTCCTGTTCTAGGAACTGAGGCTGCATTCAAGTACAGTTGGAAATTTGAAATCCCAGCATGAGAGAATGCAGCAGGTGAGGGAGGGAGAGTGAGATTTAAACCTGTAATCTTGCTGTCAAAACCAGCTCCTTCAGCCTTTAATTCAGCTACTGGAAGTACTCGACTTCAACCCTGTCTACACTTAGGAAAACTCTGTTAAAGAAAAAAACTCCTGTCTACACAGTCTTCATTTTACAAAACGTCTCAGTCAACACTAGAATGTAAAAACAACTCTGAGCACTTAACAGGCCAGTAGGCTGTGATAATATGATAATAATATATCAAAGAAGAAGATTCTCAGCATGTGTTGGAGCCATGTGTTTGATTTGTGTGACATGTAGTATCCCACCATACCACTAGGTGGCTTATATCACTGGCAGACAGGCCAAGGTATTTAAGTTCATCCCAGTGCGCACAGGTGTCGCTGATGTAAGGAGGCAAACAGTTTTCAGAGTCAAATTTACATTGCTGCAAGTTTGTGTTATTGAAAGTTAAACGGACGTCATGGACAATGCTAAGAAAATAACCGAATGATGATCATTGGTAAAGATTGCGAGTAGTTTTCTGAGTATACGTCCAACCAATTCAGCCAGTTAGCAACCAGTAGCAGCTTAAGTCTTGAGGCTGATTGGGCACCTTGACAACATCAACCCAGAACCATGCTTGCCCCTGGGACTTACAAATCTTCTGCAATTTTTTTTTTTTGTTAACAGGAGGCAAACAGTAACTGCAACCACACTGACAACAGTGTCGCTTCCTGTCCAGCCGAGGCCACACCAGAGGTTGCCATGGAAACAGAACAGAGCAAAGGTAAACGAGTGAAGAAGCAGAGAGAGTTACGGGGCATTTACGGTGCATTTAAGCTTTAAGTGCATTGAAGCAAATTGTGTGTGTCCATTTATATCCACTGATGTATTCACATTGACTTTTACTTTCACACCTGCCCTGTTTGGTTCTGTTCAATTGAACTCAAGTTTGTTTGCCCCCTAAGTGCGGTTCGTTTGGGCAGGTGTGAACACAGCAATCACACTCCAGTGCGCACCACAACAACCGGACTGAGACTTTCTTGAAGAGGTGGTCTCGGTCTGGTTACGAACCAACCAACCAACTCTAGGCCATTATACAACTTTGTGACAAAATTAGTCCCTGATTCAAGCGACCTCAGTCTGATCATTCATTAATTTTTACCACTACTAACGGAGCGCTAATGACCTGAAAGTAAGCTAAAAGTACTGGAACAAACAGGTGTTAAAGTCATTAAGGGGGCGTACACAACTTGCCTTGGCAACCATGAATTTTGGCACAGAATAGGCACAAGAGTAGCGCCCAGTGCCCGACCTTGTGTTTTCCTGGCGGTTAAAGACGCGGCATGTGTACGGCCCCTAAATTAGTTAGACAAAATTCCTGTTGTCATAGTAACTCTCCATTGACACTCCCCTCCACCTCCAGACGTCCCAGTGACACCACAGAAACCAGGACCTGTGGTTGTTCAAGCCAACAACAAAAACCCGGCCACTGAAAAGCTGGAGAAAGTCCGCAAGTGGAGCATCACCACCTACAAGGTGAGAGCAATCAAAAGGATCGGTAAAAGACGTAATCAATACAAATCAGTCTGATCAATGACGACGTTTTCTTCCCCGCAGTGCACCAGGCAGGCTCTGTCAGAAAAGCTTGGCCGTGGATCTCGTACAGTGGACCTGGACCTGGAGCCTCGCCTTGAGCTGCTCAAAGACGACCGACTGCGCTACGAAAACGTCACCAAGCTGGCTCAGACGCTGGCCAATCAGCTCGCTCAGTTTACAGTTACCCAGAAGACACTGGGGGACGCCTTCACTGAGCTCAGCCTCAAAACACCAACACTGCATGTGAGTACAACCGTTGCATTGCTCACAACCTCTGCTGCTACAAATGACTCTTGGCAAACAGCGACTGTCCGATCACAGCTTAGCAACTGTAACTAGGGCACATCATTCAAAGAGTTAGGAGATTGTCTTTCACTTTTTAGCCTTTCAGAAAACAAAAAAACAATAATAAAAATGGAAGGAATTTGTTTATCTGCTTTGACATGAGATATAAAATCTTCGCACATCAAGCTAACTAGATTTCTAGCTACAATAGTAAAGCAGTTTATGGGTCGACTGTATTCAATGTTGAGCTGGCCATATTCTAGAGAGTTTTATTATTTGTGTATAACAGATAATACAGAAGATAAGGAACTTTAAAAAAGCTGCGTACTGATTTGCAATTGCAATATTAGCCTAAAAAAGATTTTTTCTCCTATATTGTTGAGTCTTAATCAGAAACCAGGCAGCCATGATGGAGGTCAGGTGGTGTCTCTCACTCTCTCCGTCTCTGTCAGGTGGAGTTTGGTGTGAACGCAGAGGCTCAGAGGTTTCTGTCAAAGAGCGGTGAGACTCTGACAGCGGCCATTAACGGCTTCACATCTGACATGAACACCCTGGTCAACAAAACAATCGAGGACACCATGATCAGCGCCAAACAGTACGAGGCCGCCAGGTGGGTGGAAAACACACCTGGACCAGTTACACCAGGATTCTACATAGACGGTTTTAGGGCCGACGTCAAAATGACATCAGTTTGTTAACTGGAGGCGAAACATGACGTGTTTATGTGTATTAAGGGTTATCATGTCCACCTCATCTGAAACTGGGGAGGGATTAAGAGGAATATTGGGTTTCTCTGGAACGCTAACTTTTTAGCACATTAGCTAACGTTAGCTTCCATAGCAAAACAAACAAGTGTGGTCCTCCTTTGTAAGATTGGCTTCCTGTGACATCATCCATCCACTGAGTGAGAGCATACGGGTCGGCCAGTCTGGTCCCGTTGGTCAGTGTTTACTTATTCAAGTAACACTGGCGGTCCCGGAGAGTGAGTGACCTGACATGGTGCGTTGGTAAATTCAGTCTGACGCTCTACACTAAAATGAGAGCCCTGTTGGTGGAAGAAACGGAGCGTTATATTTCTACATGAATGAACCAATGGTTAAGTTAATTAAGTCAATCCGTCTCCACAGACAGAGTGTCCAGAGTGCGCTCTGCCACTCTGAGAGTGCGCTGCTCTGGACAACCCAACGCTACATTTAGACAGCGCCTCCAATTTATGAACGGTCCAGTTTGTGTCAGAGTGCGCTCCCACATTCAGAATGAGTTTTTCTGAACGCACTACTCACATCATCTTCCTCCATTGTCTAAAACAAGACAATAGAACTTGCTAGCTAATGCTAGCTAATGCTAGCTAATGCCTATGGAGAATTGTTTTGCCTCCAGCTAAGCCCCGCCCACCAAAAAACTTCATACTGTTTACCAGCAGTAAAAGGGTCTAATAAGTAAACAAGTAAAGCTCCTTTATAGGAAGCTAAGAGATGCTGTTAGGGGAATTACAGGTTCAAACTCTTGAACTTGATCAGATCAATCGATAGAAACAGACCATGAAAAAAAGAGTTTCCAATTAAAGAAACCAGATCTGAAAGAGATCCAGGCACCGTCAGAACCAGTCCAAAACAGACAGAAAATGAAAACATAATGTGCTCCCAGAGTCCGCTTGGATCTACTTGTGTATCCAGGACCTGCAACAATAGAGTGGACTTTAATTATCCTGACTTTGAGGAAGTCTGATACCTTTACCATCAGTGTTTCCAACCACTGGGTGTTAGACCGGTAAAGAGACACTGAACAACTGCTACCGAGCCACAAGAAAAAGGTATAAACTGGGTTATAACTTTATAACTTCATGTTGTTTGTGTGGTTAAATTGAATGTTAATTTCAGTTGCGATAGTCCACCACTACCAGACCCCAAAACTAGATGACCATGTAGACTTGTTCTATTCCAGGATCGAGTATGATGCGTACCGGGTCGACCTGGAGGAGCTGAACCTGGGACCTCGGGACGCCGTCACTCTGCCCAAACTGGAGCTGGCCCAGAAAGACTTCCAGAACCAGAGGGAGAGGTACGAGAGGATCAGGGACGCCCTGTCCGTCAAAGTTAAGCTGCTGCAGGAAAACAAGGTGAGAAGGATCACAAGTGTCTGGTAAACCTTGAGATGGTCAACATATCGTTCTTAATGAACCCTGAAGAGAGAGTAGTTGATCAGAGCTGGATCCAATAAATACCCCTGACTACCGCAAACTCATTTGACACAGGAATTAATGACCATTGTAACCTGTTAGTGAGTGTTAGTGGATTATTTGTCCCATGTGAAAGGGGCTTTAGTCACAGTGGTTTACTTAAAGAACATGTTTTTTACATCTTATCATGTTTTTATGTCTCCGGGCCATCAACAGTCGTGACCGAAGGCATTATGTTTTCAGGTTGTCCGTCCAGCCTTCTGTCCATCCCACTCTCGTGGAATGCCTTCAAATTTGGCACAAATTTATACTTGGAGTCAAAGACGAACTCCTTTGTTTTTGGTGGTCAAAGGTCAAGGTACTTACCTTGTCTGCTTTATTCTCATAAAGGTGATATCTCAAGAATGCCTCGAGGGAATTTATCCAAATTTGGCACTAATGTTCACTCAATGATGAACTGATTTGAATTTTGTGGTTTAAAGGTCAAGGACACTATGACCTTGCATCCATCTCATTCTTGTGAATGCGATATCTCAAGAACAGCTTGAGTACATTTTTTCAAATTAGGCACAAACATCTACTTTGAGTCAAGGATGAACTGATAAACATTTGGTGGTCAAAGGTTGAGGTCATTGTGACCCCTCCCATCGCATTCTTGTGAATATAGTATCTCAAGAACACCTTGAGGGAATTTCTTCAAATTTGGCACAAACATCTACTTTAGTCAAGGATGAACTGATTTGAAATTGATGGTCAAAGCTCAAGATCACCATAACCTTTCATCCATCTCATTCTTGTAAACAAGATATCTCAAGAATACCTTGAGGGAATTTCTTTGAATTTGGCACAAGCATCCACTTTAAGTCAAGGATGAACTGATTTGAAATTGGTGATCAAAGGTCAAGGACACTATGGCCTTGCATTTGTCTCATTTTTGTGAACGAGATATCTCAAGAACACCTTGAGGGAATTTCTTCAAATTTTGCACAAACATCCACTTTGAGTCAAGTATGGTCAAATTAAAATTTGGTGGCATAGGTCAAGATCACTGTGTCCTTGCGTCCATCTCATTTTTTAAACACTGTGAGACAAACAATGTCATGTTCTGCAAAAACACACTGAAACATTCTCAATTTATGCAAAAATAAACTGTTTTGTTTATGTGTAGCCTGAGGAGCCATTTTTTTCCAATATTGGTAACGTTTGTTTGGACTTGGAAAAATGTTAGTTATATAGATTCTAGCATTTATTTCCATTTTTTGTTTAATTATCAAAAACTTTAACTTTGTTTTTTTTGCTTTTCTTTTTACTATTCATAGCACAATTACTGTTATACTGCACAAAGGATTTTTTTAAGTTCTCTCTGCTTCTACCCATGATTGTGCTGTTTCCATAGAGGTGGAGGACTCATATATTGAATTAAAACAACAAGGCCTCTGTGAGTAAAATATGACAGGACCAAAACAAAAAACACCCCGAAGCTGCCTGGGATTCAGAGGGTTGACGGAATGTTAAAAAACTGCAAAAAAATAGTATTAACAATTTCCCAGATTCCAAGTTGACGTCTTCAGTATGTCTTTTTCTTTGTGTGTTTGTTTTTTTGGGAGGGCGTTTGACCAACAGTCCAAAACCTTCGGATATTCCATTCACTGTCACATATCGTGAAGAAAATCTGCATATTATCACATTTGGAAAGCTGCAACATGACAGTAGTTAATATTATTGCTTCAAAAATGACTGAAACAATCAGATATTGTACACGACAGAATAAGGTTGCGAATTAATATTCATGAAAATATGGTTCAGACTTGACAAATCCCTCATTTTCTCTGCAGGTTAAAGTCCTCCATAACCAGCTGTGGCTGCTTCATAGCGCCGTTGCTGCTCACAGTTTATCGTGTCAAAGCTTCCTGGAGCAAAACATTCAGCAAGCCACCGAACACCTCAACAACCCCAGCGTAGACGCCCCCTCCTGGCTGGAGAGTTGACCCATCATGGCAAGTGGACTGATGTTGGGTTCAGCAGATGTTTTGGTATAAATAGACGCTACTGGGGGGAAAAGTCAGAGTGAGGCTTGTTTTGGGAATTTTGGACTAAAAAAGTTGGGATGTGAAATTTGGGATAGTTCGGTCGGTAGGTAGTTTATTTATATTCCAGTTTGTGGGTTAGGGATCGATTTCCAACCTCTGGAAAACTTAGAAAAAAACTCTGTTTGCTACAAAAATCTGGAGTTAGATAGTTCAGAGGGAAATTGATTATTCTGGATGTTGAATGGGCTCCTGCAGGTCTGGAAAGACATTTGAAAGGTGGAATTTCATCACTTTCTGGGTCTCAAAATATTATGGATAAAAAATTTAGAAAGGTTTTGAAAAAATGAGGTTATTATTTTGAACTCTTGACATATTTAGGACAAGAATTATCTCTCTTTCTATACTATAGATTCAGAGGCATACAGTACTTGTGACTTTTGACCTGTTTAACAGAGACACATATATACCCCTCCTGGTTTTCTTTCCTCTGTCTCACTGTGTTGGGGAGTAAATCCATAATCCTCTGTGAGGCACTAAGCCTTTCTTTGAACTTTAAAAATCCTCAGCCACTGCAGTCAGAAACTCACAGTTAAACTAAAAGTGCCTCAACACCACTGCTGGGAAAACAGCTTGGTTTTTCCATAGGGGCTGGTACTATCAGCAACTCTGCACCAGCTCGGTTTGGCTTCATACATCATATTCAGCTGTAGATAATTAACTTTATTTGTTAAAAGGCAGGAATCAAACCTGGCTGTTCTCTGGTTAATGTCTTATCTCCAAGCCAGTGTTTGTTCTTGGCCAAAGATTATTTGTGATGTAAAAGAGACTTGTCATAGTATCACCACTCTATGAGTAGATTGTGTGTATTCTAACTGACCATATCACATCAGTCATCGACGCTCTCCAGTATTTGGATCAAATAGCTCATTGAAAAAATTGGCTGTTAAAGTAAAATATGCCACATCGTCTTTTGCTCTTCATATTTTTGGGTTTTAGCTACAAACTAAGTGTCTGTGCCTTTTCTAACTAACAAAAAGTCAGAATCTCAGCTGAATCTTTCAATTTTAAACCTTTTGTTGTAAATGTTGAATGCTGAATTCAAATGAGTTTCATAAGGCATTCGAAAGGACTCAGATTTGACAGAATGCTGACCCCGAACAACTTTTGGACAGTTGATTGACCGCCACCTGCTGCATAGTTAGTTTAAGCAGCTCTGTTCTGGTTAGGTGTTGCCTTTTTCTTTCTCTGGTGTCCATGGCAGAATCTCAGCGTTATAGCGTTTATTTGCTGTCTGTCCAGTGAAGATTTGGATGATTGATTGACGGTCAACTGTCAACTTAATTCACCTACCACAGATTAAGTTAAAGCAGCACTAGTTTGGTTAGCTGATGGTCATTTCCTCTTCTGGATTGCATGGCAAGACATTCAACAGCCTGTTGAGACCAATAATTTGTTGGAAAACAGCTTCACTGTTCTCAATGCTGAGCCAGCGAGTTAAATAATGATGAAAGAGTTGGATAAATCATGGATGCAGCTTTTTTTCTGGTTGAATGCTGGTCATTTCATCCTCTGGTATCCATGGCAAAAAGCTCAAGGACTGGGTTGATCTCAATAATTTGCAGCAAGTCAAAGTAAAGTTGCAGTATGCAGACCATGGGCCTTTTTTTTGAAAAGAGGGGTTGTTTTTAGCCAATCTTTTTGGCAATGAGTCATCAGTGGCTCGTTTTAGTTTTACATTACTGTCTGTACTGTGATGACTTGAACAAGTTATGGATGGCCATCTGCTAACTTCCAGCCAAAGATTTAGTTCCAGTAGCACTGATCTGGTTGACTGCTCGTCATTCATCCTCTGGTTTACAGGGCAAGATGCTCAGCACTTGTGGAGACCAATAAATTGTGACAAATGCAGTATGTCAACAATATTGCTTTATTCAAAGGTTAAAGAAAGGTTGGCTCATTTTGTCAACACTCTATCAGTCACCAAAGTTTTAGTGTTTATTTACTGTCTGACCCGTGAAGATGTGGCCAGTTGTTGGGCTGATTTGGCACTGATTTGGTTGACTGCTGGTCATTTCCGTTTCTGGTTTACATGACAAGATGCTCAGCAGCCTGTTGGGACCAATAATTAGCGAATAACCAAAATATATTGCTGTCTGTCAACGATATTGCCTTATTCATAGCTATTGTAACAGTTGGCAGTTAATCTTTCAGGCAATATTTTAACAGTAGCCAGAGTTTTAGTGTTAATGTATTTTTCCAGTGATAATTTGGATGGTTGATTTATAGCCAACTTAACGTACCAGTCACAGATTTAGTTGCAGTAGCTCTCCTCTGGTTTACATAGCAATCTGTAAAGATCAATAATTTGCTGTGAACTCAAAAATGTTGCTATATGTCGACGATGTTGCCTTGTTTGTTGTTAAAGAAAGGCTGGTTGTAGCCAATCTTTTTGGCAATGTTCCATAAGTAGCCAAAGAGCTAATGTTTATTTACTGACTGTCCTGTGGAGATTTAGAAAAGCGATAAATCTATTAACTTACCAGCAACAGATTTAGATTCAGCAGCTCTTGTCAGATTGGCTGCTGGTTATTTCCGCCTCTGGTTTACATGACAAGAAGCTCAGCAATGTGTAGAGACCAATATTTTGCTACAAGCCAAAAAATGTTGCTATACGCCAATGATGATGCTTTGTGTGTTTTCAATGCCAGGTAAGTTGGTTGTAGGCAATCTCTCTGGCAATGTTTCATCAGTAGCCAAAGATGGCTTTCTGTCATCATAACCTGCCTGCCACACATTTAGTTACAGTAGGACTGGTCTTCTGGTCTGTTCGGCAACTGGTCATTTCTTCCACTTGTTTAGGCTACATGGCAAGAAGCTCCACAACATGTTGACCCTAGTACTTTTTAAAAAAAAAATAGTCGCATTATGCCAGCAATGTTGTCTTTCTTTATGTTTTGTGAAGAAAAGGTTGTGGCTTTTTGGCAATGTTGCATCAGTAGCCAAAGTTTTGGTGTTTATTTATGTCTATACTGTGAAGATTTGGACAAATGATGGATGACCAGCCGTCAACTTACCAGCAACAGATTTAGTTTCAGCAGCTCGTTTGGTTGGCTGCTGGTCACCAACATGTAGAGATGAATAATTTGTCATTAACCAAAAAATGTTGCTATATGTTGACAATATTGCCTTGTTCGTTGGTAAAGAGAGGTTAGCTCTGCTTGACAACATTCCATCAGTACCGAACATTTTAGTGTTTATTTACTTCTCCTGCAATTATTTGGATGGTTGATTGATGACTACGGACCAAAAAAAATTTTGCTGTACATCGACGATGTTGTCGTGTTTGTTGTTAAAGAAACGGTAGTTGTAGCCAGTGTTTTCGGCAAAGTTTCATCAGTAGCCAAAGTTGTATTTTTCTTGTCCGTCTGATTTAACAATGTATCATCATTAGTCTATAGGCCCCTAAATTTAAACCACAACTACCTGGACATTTTTTATTCACTCCGACTAAAATTGCGACCACCACCAAGAGTAGTTGGTGCTTCTGAATGTTCTCCAGTTACACTCCAGTTTTAACTATTTTATCAGACAGTGACACAGTAAGAAACCAGTTAGTTTGTATGTTAACTTTCTGCAACTTAAGAACTTTTATCATTATCATCCATTATTTTCTTGTGTATTGGCGAGGAGAGGTGACTTGTATTCAAGTTTAAAACCAATCTGTTCCTTTCACACTATGCAATTTTGTCAGGAAAAAGATTTTTACTCTGAAATACTATGGTGTAAAAAAGGAGTTATATTCAGTCTAGTAGAACATGCTGAATAGATTTGCAGCCTTTGTATGTTTTTTTTCTTCTGATTGAGACCAAAATGTTTCAGGCTCTCCCGTTCATCCAAATTCAGCAGACAAAAAAATGCAGAAATACTTTAAATTTGTGTCAATTTTTAACAGCAGCACAATGTAAAATGTTGCTCTTATTTTGTCCTCGCACTCTTTGCACTATATCTAAGCATAATCTGCCTTTAATATTTGCTGTGGCACTGAATGTGTTCAGTGAATTTACTCCTTTCAGACTGTTCTGTTAACATGTATGAGTGTTTTTGTTTGTGTCACTGTACCTCAGGCCCGAAAACTATGCAATGACTTTTGATGCTTTCTGTGCAATAATGTGTCAAAACCTCGCCTTAAAAAGTGATTTGTACACTGCCAGTGAATTTGTATCCTTGTCTTCTAAAAGCAGAACTGTCCCACGTGAATTAAGGGATAATACAGACTTTTTGAAGTGGGGTTGTATGAGGTATTTATCCATAGCCAGTGTAGATGGCGGTCAACACAACCCCAGTTTAGAGAAGCAGGCAGGAGTACCACCACAGATGCTGAGCAATGCACTGATGCAGAGGGGGGCAGCTTATTTTAGCCATTAAAAAATAAAATCAGGGGCGTCGGTAGAGTAGTGGATAGTGCCAGCACCCCATGTACAGAGGCATTGCCTCGCTGCAGTGGTCACGGGTTCGACCCTTAAGCTGCGTGTCAGTCCCCGCTCTCTCTCTGTCTCCCCATTTCACACACTGCCATATCCATTAAAGGCAAAAGCCCACAAAAACACTCTTTAAAAAACAAAACAGTTTAAGTCTACTCTATATTCTGAATATGTTCGCTGCTTTACCACTCTGTCGTTTGCTCTCTTTAAAGCCACCAGACTCCATTGGCAAATACATTAATTTTAAATCACTGAACACAGGAGTTGCTGGTCTACAAAGTCACACAATATCACGACTAAACCAACCGACTGAGGCAGCGGTTGAGCAGCAGCTCCCGTGTTCCACCAGGTGAAATGACTGTTTATGTCACTGCAGTCTGGATTTAGAGAACAGCTTCAGTTCCTCGTTGGTAAATCACCATCCAACTGCAAGTTAAAACAGTGAAAATATTCTAAATGTAGCGTACATGTTTATCGCTTTTAACCTTTGCCCCCATCCACAGCAGTGCATTGCTTAGCTTCCGTGGTGGGATTGTTTGCTTTTCCAAACTGTTGGACCACCATCTACATAGGTAATACCAGGACTATGGATAAGTACCTTGTATATCCCCACTTCAAAAAAAAAAAATCGGAACTATCCATTTACATATTGCTTTAAAGGGAAATTCCACTCAATTTAAAGATGAAGTTCCTGTGACATGTTTGAGGCCAAAACCAGCTCCAACTTACCGTGTTGTTATATGAGGAAGAAACACAACAGGGTTTGGTTGTAAACTGTACAGCAGATTAAAGAGGGAACTGGCAAAATTAAGATCTTTAAGTTGATATTCTAGGAGAATAAAAAGTTTTTAGTGATCCTAGCATACTGTAATGCCTGGTACACACTACACGATACCAGCCCGATTATACCCCGACGCAGCGACGTACAGTATCGGCATGGGTCGTGAACGACAATGAGTGTCGTACGTGATAATCCATCGTTTCATCTCGTGTAGTGTGTCATGGTAGACGACAACTGACGCCACGTCTGGGACATCCCACGACGTTCCAACAGAAAGTCTGGCATGTTTGATTTTCTTTTTGTAGTTCACGACTTCTCCCGTCACAGCCGTCACTTTGACCAATAGGAACACAGAGCGATGTGCTGCCGTGGAAACTGTACGAAAACAACAGCCCAGTTTTATTGATATTCCCTGTAGGGACGTTACCACACAGAGTGAAAAGGTAGTACTGCCATTAGCATCAAGCTAGCAATCAATGTTACCTCTTCATAACGGAGGATATAAAGTAGAAAGAAAAAGAAAAAAAATAGTGGATTTTACTCACCACAATTGCAGAGGCTACCAGCTTCATTTGAAACAGACGACATTATAAACGGGCCGTTATTTATTAATCCCTCTGTGTTTTTATATTTTCACTTTTTATTCGCTCCCGTTGCCTTGAAAAAATTAATGCATCGCACCGTCATTTCAAACTTAATACTTCCTGTATCCATTTCAAATTAAAAGCTCCTTATAACTTCAGTTGAGAGAATCCCTCCATTTTCTAAAAAGGCTTTTATTGTGAAACAATTGCAGGAACTTGTTGTGGAGGATTCAGTGACTATCATAGATTGCATGCCGTACTTCAAATGTAGCTCCGCCCATCTGGTGGGGCTTTTTACGTTACTACAACATTTCGCCTGGCACGTGAACAGACACAGTGACTGAAATAATAGTAATAATAATAATAATAAAAATAGGAACGGACAAAACTGTTGTATAGTGTGAACCAGGCATAACAAGCAGTTTTTTGTTGACTGTCTGTTTGAGGTCATTACGCTAATTTTGAACTAGAAAGTTAATTTTTGACCTGAAATCTTAACTCAAGGTCCACTTACTGGCTTTTCTTCCAAAGCTTTCATCTGCATCTTCCACTGCCTCTTCCTCAACGTATCGAGTTTGCTCGATAAATGAAAAATAAAATAAAGTCAGTAAGTCGACCATTTCTTTTTTGTTGTCAACGTAAGGTCCAGCACACGGTCTGCAAACTCTATCCACTGAGGAAGATCAGGAGATGTGGTCAAAAGCTTCCCTTTTAAGCTAAGAATGATTATACTATGATCACCAGAAAACAAAGAGATAACTAGATACAGAATCCTGCGCTCCATATTCAACATCACACGTACAATTATGATTCATTTCTAAATTGTGCTCTGTCCCTCAAGTGTCTTTTCTCTACTACTGTAAGACAAAAATCCTGTGACTGACTCCAGTCTTCCTTAATTATTGTCAAATTGTTTTGGGTTTCTTCCAGCAGCAGCACATTCAGTGTGGGTTATCCCCTGACTTTCCTCCAGCAGATTGATCTCACGCTCGCAACAAAGAAATCCTCTCAGATAAAGACTGACTCTGGATCAGTCTGCGGTCCATCTCAAAAGACCAAAAGTAAAAGGTTAAAGTGGGATTTTCCTTTTTTATTGGAATTGTAAATGCTACTTAAATTGTTTTATTGTTGTTGGAAATGTTTGTATGTAACTGCCAAATAAATCTATTAAACCAAAAATGTGACTTAAAGACCAACTTACTATGTTAACCTGAGATGATTGACTCTGTAACTGAAACTTTTACCGGCTTTAATTTCATGCGTGTGTTAAATCTTCTTCCTGGTCGTCAGATTTCAGGTGTTTCCCACAGTTTGGTTTTCACCTTCCTGTCCACAGCATAGCTTTCACGTTACTCTTCTGACTTTCTTTGGCGGTTATCTTAAACAGCCTTCAGAAGAAAATGTTGGCATCGTAAGTTCCTGCAAACCACAAATACACCAGATCAACGTTCCTAAAGTGACGTAGTGTATGAACTGAATTTGTCATCTAGAAGTGAAGGGATGGTGGATGGCATGACACGTACTGTAGAGATTGTCTTTTGGCAACACTTCTTGGCAATTCCACCGGTGTTTGTGGCACAGAGCCTGGGTGTTTTTCACCTAACGCAAATCGCCAATCACGTATCAGCAACTCAAAGCATTTAGTCATGTAGACATGGTGAAGACGAGCTGCTGAAGGTCAAACGTTTCAGGCTGCTGCTGGTGGTGTAATGGTGTGGGGGAGATTTTCTTAGTATCATCTGAGCATGGTTTAAACACCACATCCTACCTGAGTATTGTTGCTGAGCGTGTCCATCCCTTTATGACCACAGTGTACCCATCTTCTGATGGCTACTTCCAGCAGGATAACGCACCATGTCACAAAGCTCACATCATCTCAAACATGACAATGAGTTCACTGTACTCCATTGGCCTCCACAGTCACCAGATCTCAGTCCAATAGAGCACCTTTGGGATGGTGATACACACCACAGACTCACACTGCAGTTTGGATTAGTATGCAGTGTGTGTGTTTCAGAATAGGACTCTGGTCTGTTTGTGGGTTTGTTGCTCTGTTAAAGAGAAGCAATTATTCACCAGGCAACACCAACACACACACACACACACACCTGGTTCTACTGTGTGAATGCGAGTGTGTGTTGTTGCTGCATCCAGGCTCATTTTCCCAAACATTTCAACAGCAGAGTAAAGTTTCCTCACAACAACGACTCTCTCAGCTTCTGTCACTCTCTGTGTGTTTATTTAAGTGGTTCATCTTTGGACCTGAATGAAGTGAAAAGTGTTGATTAACTTGTCGTCTGGACAGTATAACGAGGACAAGAAGGAACTGTATCAAAGGTCAGAGGTCAGCTGAGGCTGAGTCAACAATGGTGATAGTACCTTTACTCAAGTGCAGAGGTACTTATACTTTGCATTAATATTGCTTCTTTTTTGGCCTACTGAGAATTTGTCTGTCTGCAGCTAATCTCAAACTACTGGACCGATCAGCCTCATAATTTGTGTGCACATTTCTTGTAGTTGTGGTGATTAACAGTCGTTGAAAAACAGTTTCATTGACTGTTTTATACCATCACTGTCTGCTGACTCCTCGCTCTTCTTAACCGACCAGCTGGGGCGGCAAGTTTTCTGGCAATCGGCTCGCCTAAAAACCACTTGTTGCCACTTTTTAGTTATCTACAAGAAACAGAGGAACTGTATCAAAGGTCAGAGGTCAGCTGAGGCCAGCTCAAAGTTAACAGTGGTGGAAGAACATTTACTCAAGTGCAGAGGTACTTATACTTTAATATTTCTATTTTATGTTACTTTTTTGTCCTACTGAGAATTTGTCTGTCTGCAGCTAATCTCAAACTACTGGACCGATCAGCCTCATAATTTGTGTGCACATTTCTTGTAGTTGTGGTGATTAACAGTCGTTGAAAAACCTGTTTTAGTGACAGTTTCATACCATCACTGTCTGCTGACTCCTCGCTCTTCTTAACCGACCAGCAGGGGCGGCGAGTTTTCTGGCAACCGGCTCGCCTAAAACCAACAAGCCAAAACTGGACTATGATTATAACTATAACCTCGCTCAGCTGTCTGAACGGTTCCTGTTTGTCTTACCTACTTTTTAAAATTGATAATTAATTGATAAATATTTGTTTATCGATGACGTCTGGGCTTTTCAAACAAGAGGGAAAACTGCTGTGTGTGTGTGTGTGTGTGTGTGTGCGCGCGTGTGTGTGTGTGTGCACGTGTGTGTGTGAGGAGGGAAGCCTGACTAGTTATTTTGCCAAGGGCGGAGCTCGTAGAGCTTATCTGGGCTGCACACACACACACACACACACACACACACACACACACACACACACAAAGTCTTTAATGTCAAATTTACTAACTGTGGCGTGTGTGTGTGTGTGTGTGTGTGTGTGTGCAGGTGGGCGTGTACGAGTGAAAGCGCCTTCCCTTCCACCTGAGTGATCACGCATGCGCAAGGTGCCTAGGTTCCCCATCTCTCTCTCTCTCTCTCTCTCTCTCTCTCTCTCTCTCTCTTTCTCTGTTTCCCTCCCACAAACACGCGCGCACTCGCACGCGACTGATGTCAGTGTGTCGGTCGGCCGAGTCGCGCGCGCTGCCTGTGGATGCCAGCCGGAGTCACCGGGGACCAGTGGATCTTGTTTTGCCGTAAAATTGGAGGTTTTCAAGCGGAACTTCTGAGCGCGGGAAGCTCGCGGCGCTGGAGCCGTTCATTCCGGTAAGTTCATGTGAAGATGACCCCCCGCACTCTGCTCTGTGTCAGCCCTGTTGACTTCACTGTGACTGTCTGTTCATGTCAGTGCTGAGCGACATCAACTCTGCAGGCTAACAGGCTGCTCAACACGGTGACGCTTCACGCCGACCAGACTGCACTCACATTTTCACATTATTTTAGATTAAGCCCACAACCTGCCTCTACAACGCTCCCACTGTGCTTTATATTGTGAAGTCTAATGTCTGGAATATTTCGGCTGCGTGTGTGAGATACTTTAAGGTGTTAAACCATGTGTATCAGTCCTATTATATCTGTTGAGAGGTTTATTTAATACTTGTGGTTCATCATGGTGAGTTTTTATTGGTGTGGTGACACTTTGAGATAATTTTATCTCTCATGGCACAGCAATAATGTTTCCAGAATATTCCTCCAGTTTGTTTTTGATGCCTTTAACTCAGCGGTGAGTTTATTTATTTGAGCTGTGTGATGTTTTAATGTCTTGGTTTAAATATTGATTCAGCAGACGTGTGTGGAGCTGTTGTGTTGTGCATGGTGTTGACACTGTTTGCTGCGGTGTGTATTAATGTCCTGTGATATTCCTGTATTATTATTATTATTATTATTATTATATAGTGCTCAGGGACCTACAGTGTGTCTGTGCTGCTCTGAGTCAAGCTTGTCTTTATTTTAAATATGTCAGTACTGGTTTGCGATTTCTCTTTAATGTCTTTTTCCTGACATTCTTTATTTAACCCTTTGAAACCTGAGCAAGGTTTCTTAAAAACATGGGACCCAAAACATAAGCAAGAAATAATTAAAGAGAAAATTAAAAACAAGATAATTAGTAAGAAAAAGAAATAAAGTTAAAAACAAACGACCTGGAAGTAGTGCCTGAAAATTATAATAATTCTTGAAACATAGTTTAAAATACAGTTATAATAATTATTATGAATATAGTTTTCCCACCTTTTTTCCGTTATTTAAAACCAGAATCTAAATATGTCTTTTTTTTTTTTGCTATTTGTAGGACATTTCTTTCCAAGTTGCTAAATGGCCGAGAAATCACACCAATTAGCTCAGAGGTTTAAATACCTGCGAAATATTGCTGTAATTATCTGCAGTATTTGTGTCTCTCTTGATATTGCTGATGTTTCTGTAATATCAGTCTGCTGATGAAGCTCATCCCTGGTGCTGTAGGAGCTTTATATTCTGTGGTGTGTTATTTGTGATTAGAGCTGCATGATATGCAAAAAAGGGAAAGAAAAGTATCACCAGATGACGTCATATATGCAACATGAGTCACTGTTGTATTGGAGATGGTCATTTTTGCTTTCCATTCTCTTTTTATTGGTTTATAAAAGCAACATGAATTTATGCAAACAAAATTGGGGCTAAGGTTGGAGACGTAAGCTGCGTCTTGATTCAGGTGCTGCAGCCTTCGAAGGCTGCATTTGGCTGCAGCGGCGCCACCAAGGCCGTCCCATTTCCTTCAAATGCAGCCTTCTTTACCAGAATTTGGAGGATACAACTAATGAATCCTGCGTGGCCCAGCCTATCCCAAGATGCATTGCACAGCGGTGACCATTATCTATTAAGTTGTTAGCTAACAGTTGTTAACAAGCTAACGGTTAACTTTTGTTAACATTACACTCTTAGCTAAATTCTCACAGCTTAAAGGGATAGTGCACCCAAAAATGAAAATTCAGCCATTATTTACTTACCCATATGCCGAGGGAGGCTCAGGTGAAGCTTTAGAGTCCTCACAACACTTGTGGAGATCCAATGGGAGAGGAGGTAGCAACACAACTCCACCTAATGGAGGCTGACGGCGTCCCAGATTCAAATGTCCAAAAACACATAATTGAAACCACAAAATATCTCCATACTGCTCGTCCGTAGTGATCCAAGTGTCCTGAAGCCCTGACATAAAAAGTTGTTTGGAAAAACGTCATTTTAGCCTCATTGTAGCCTCATTGTAGCCTGTAGCTCTGACTACCCCCCTACAATGAGGCTAAAAACAGAGTTTAAATGACGTTTTTCCAAACAACTTTTTATGTCGGGGCTTCGGGACACTTGGATCACTGTGGATGAGCAGTATGGAGATATTTTGTGGTTTCAATTATGTGTTTTTTGGACATTTGAATCTGGGGCGCCGTCAGCCTCCGTTAGGTGGAGTTGTGTTGCTACCCACTCTCCCCTTGGATCTCCACAAGTGATGTGAGGACTCTAAAACTTCACCTGAGCCTCCCTCGGCATATGGGTGAGTAGATAATGGCTGAATTTTCATTTTTGGGTGCACTATCCCTTTAAAAACCTTAATTTAATAAGTTTACCTGAAAACGGGCCATTAGCCTGAAATATATCAGGCAAGCGCAGCCTCATTGAAGTCATTCAGATCCGGTGCTTGGGCAGTGAATTGCGCCGTCAGGAACCAACGAAAAAGGAGTACTTTAATATTGGCACGATACACAGCCAGTTGCTGTTGTGGTTTGATAGCGCCTGGCGGCATCAGGGGGAAAGCAGCGGGACAGGGACGAAAGTTAAAGCAGTGAAAGTCCAACTGGGACAAGCGGTGGTGGATGGGTCCAACAAATCACCTGAGAGAGCGGTGTTCATGTCCGGCAAGATTCTAAAGCCAAACCCTGTTTTTTTTTTCCCTAAATGTAACCACGTGTACCGACGTAGTGCTTTTATTTTGAAAGAGACTGTATGTAAACTTTAAATTTGCTGTGAAAACAGAAGTGTATTTTGAAAGAAGACAATGCATGTAACAGTCTGAACTTGACACAGCGTCCCAGCACGTCAACAACCAACACACCCAGGGTACCTTGCACGTCTCATGTGGACGTGTAAAGTGGAATTATGAATTGTATGAATTTGAATTGTGCAGTACTGCAGTAATGACTTATTTGTAAATCATCTTTGGGTCTAAGTTGTGAAAGTTTTGTGGTTGTTTTTTTGTGTACTTTTCCACTGTGGTGTCACAACAATGCAGTGAATGTAATGTTTATTCTCATTATTGACTAAACTACTAATTCGTCTCTCTATTAACAAATTAATTGTTAATTAATAGTGAAAATTTTCAGTAACAAGTCCCAGAGTCCATGGTGATGATTCCAGATGTGCTGTTTTATCCAACCGACGCTCCAAAACTCACAGACATTCAGTTTCTCATCATGTAAGAGTATGAAAATGTAAAAACATTTACATTGAAAGTGGTGAATATTTACCTTTTTATTTCTTAAAGAGTGACCAAAACAGTGAATTGATCATCAAATGTTATATATGTGAGCTGCTTGCTGTATATGATGACGTGCATACAGACACTACATCATATCTGCAGAGAGAAAAGGTTTCAGTACTCAGCAGGTTTTCAGGCCTCGAGGTGTTTAAACTCACACGGTGAGTCAACATACAGCTCAAACTACCCACAAGAGAAACTTACAGCTAGGTTACAGACTCAGATAATGTGGTCGTAATTTCTTTTGTTTTTTTCCTACTTTTATTTACCTTGTTGGTCACACTTGGATGTTACAACTCTTGAATGACTTTAATCTAATGCTCCCATTTAGGGTGTGTTGCTCAAGAGCACATCAGAACATGTTCTCTACAGACTGTCCTCTCTTGTTAGTAGAGGCTCATTTATTCTTCTTTAAGTACAAAAATAGATCCGTCCATTTCAAATGTAACCATCACTGCCCTCAAACATAGATGGCGTTCAGGGTGGAGGCCATTAAATACATCGCGACACGTGGAGCCCTAAACCCAAGTATGTGTACTTGTTTTTGCCTGTGCTGCGAGACAATAGTCGCGTTTCCATCACAGTTTTGCGCAAAATAAATGCAATATTTCTAAAGTTTCGACAAAGTACAATTGCGACTTGCAGGTGTTTCCATTAAAAGGTGTTTTGCACATGAGCCGTAATTCTCGTAAAATCTCGTCCGGCGAGACTCCACTTTGTTTGCGGAAGTACGATGGACATTCCAAATCTCTTGCGAGCTGGAACAATCATCTTGGTTGCCACTGCTGCTGTTGCAGAAGTCTACAATGGAAGACGAAGAGAGCGAGTGGTAGTTAGCTCAAGAAAATACTCGGTCTCCACCTCCGTCCAAACCATCTTGTTTGAATGAGTGAACCCTGAACCGGTCATGTGACCCCCCCATCGTCATGTCCGGTGACGTATATTTGCGAAAAAAGTGTTTCTATTACACTTTTGCGATATACTTCTATATTGACACGTCTGAAAAACCACCTCATGAGAGCGTAAAAACTTTTTCTCGATATCTGAGTGTTTTTTCGAAATGTAGGTGTTTCCATTACCAGTCTTTTATTGCGATATTTAGATTGTGCGCATTTCTAGGGTTAATGGAAACGCACTTACTGACTCCACCAGGCTCCATTCACATTCACTGACACTCTATCATACACTTCTTGCAGCCTGACCTTTGACCTCTCACGAATCGTGTTCTTCCGGTGAATTTAGCGAATGTGAAATCCACCGAGCTGCTTCTATTGGACTAAAACGTCGGCTTTTGCACCAGACGTTCTGTATTTATAAGTTCAAACCTTGATGAGAAACACGCTTGTGTTTTTGGGTCATTGTAAACTTAATGTTGTGTTCACACCAAACATGATGCAAATTTTCGTGTCCCTAGAATGTTTTGTGTTGACTCGCTTCATATGCGCGTGAAATCACGTGTACATGAGAGCCCAAAAGACACAAATTATCCCGAGAGAGGATGTAGCGGTTTATGCTAACTGGGGTAGTGCTAACTTGCTCGTAAAGTAGCTGGAAACAAGTAACAGACAAATGTTTCCACAACTTACCAGTAGGGTTGGGTCGGTATGAGGAAAAAAAAAAAACGGTCCGGTTTTTGTGAAAAACCGCATCAAGTCGGTAATACCGGATTTTCACCACTTGGAGGCGCAATTGACTCACTCACTTTCCTCCAGGCGAGCTCCTTTTTCTTCCTTTTTTTAAAGAAATAGGACGTGATGTCATA